GGGGACTTGAAATGGAGTCTCCTGGGCCCCAGCTCCACCTTAACCCTGTACCGCATTGCTTCTGAGGGACGTTAGGAGGGCCACAGGCTCTCTGTCCCAGAGAAGGCTGGAGAAATTGAAACTTTATTTATGAACGTGTTATATCCCTCCTTTCTTCCAAGGGGCTCCAGGGAAACCCAAGGTCGGCCTCACCACAACCCTGCAAGGTAGGCTCCGCTGGAAAGGGCTGGCTGGCCGCGTCCCAACCACAATCTGTGATCTTTCCAACAGGGATCACCGGCCTTCCGAGGACCAACCGGAGCCCCGCTGGCTGGCTGAGGACCCTTCTGCCCCCCTCCTCTTTTCCCTCCCTGGGAGAGGAGGTGGATTTTCTGCAGCTCGGTGGCTTTTGTCTTCATTACCCCCTTCCCACCTCCCCCCCCCCCGTCATGGTGGGTCACCCGCAGTTGCAAGGAATGGAAAACAGCATCAAGGAAAAGAACCGGGAGAGTCTACTGGACAGTCCTGATTCGGGGCTGCCCCCTAGCCCGAGCCCCCCTTTCTACTCCTTGTCTCTGGGTGGAGCTGAGAGCAAAGCCGCAGGCAAGAATCCCTGCTCGGAAGCTGTGGACCATGGGCCTGTGAGAGATGGGCAGGAAGGGAGACCGGTAAGTTTGGCAAGCTTTTTTTTCTCTTTCTCCTGCTCTCTGTGTCTGTGAATTGGACGCTGCAATTTGCTGGCCTTGTTCAGAGAAACCCGGATTTTAATTTGGGATGTTTGCATTCGGTACACATATCACCTTGCAAGGCTGCATCCTTTCCTGCTACAGAACATGCTGTTATCATCAAACCCCTATCCCATTGTGGCCAACCGTACTGGCCAAGAATTGGGCCGTTTCTAAAGCGGGATACCTGCTCTCTTGACAGAACTAGGTTTTCTAACCTCTGTTAAAAAGATGGATCCCCCCACAACGTGACTGGACAACTGCTGACATAGGTGTCACAGTCAATAAGTTGACATGTTCCCTTTGCCTGGTGACCTAGCCCGGATTTTTACTCACCCCTGGCAACCGAGCAGATGGTTATAAACTGACCTGAATGGAATGCCAGTTCCATCTGGCATGAAAAGACCTACTAGGGACTCTAGATATTAAGATAAAAGAGAACTTTGTTGTGGCTGTTCTAATAACAATGGCAACTGAGTTAATGCCGTTTGCTTTTCTGGAATTAATTAGCTTGGAAGTAGATGCTATCAGAGGGAGTTTCAATCAGCCATCAATAGACACATAGAAATAAATCACATTTACACACCATTCAGAAGAGACAATAAAAAAAACTAAAAAGGAAACAGAAAGTCCAGAACACATCTCCTCCAGCAGCCAACACCCAGATAAGCGTGGATTAATGCCAGACAAACGATCAGGCAGAAAACAATACCCTAATCAAGGAACTACAAGGAGAAAACAACACCCCACCAACACTGGCAGGGGAAGCAACTGTATATTAACAGGGAGCAGACCCCACACTCACTAGCACTGATGA